AAAGTCTTCTCTTTTGTTTTTTTTTTTGTTCCCAACGTTTATTTATTTTTGGGACAGAGAGAGACAGAGCATGAATGGGGGAGGGGCAGAGAGAGAGGGAGACACGGAATCGGAAACAGGCTCCAGGCTCTGAGCCATCAGCCCAGAGCCCGACACGGGGCTCAAACTCACGGACCGCGAGATCGTGACCTGGCTGAAGTCGGACGCTTAACCGACTGCGCCACCCAGGCGCCCCAAAAGTCTTAACGATGCACAGGACAGCCGCCACAACAAAATGATCTGGCCCAAAATGTCAGTAGTACTGACATGGCAAAACCCTGGTCTACGCCAGTCATGGTGCATTGCCCCGAACTAAGTATGTTGCTGCCTTGAGTGAAATCGAGGACTTTGTGCAGACAACTGACAGCACTCAACATGGCAGCAAACGGACACGTGGGTAGGAGCCCAACTTCTGGCTGCGTGGCTGGAGCACCGGGTGAGACAGCAGGGGTGGGGAGTGAGGGTGCCAGTAGGACCCGGGGAGAAGATGCACACACCGGCCTTTCAGAATCCTCCGTTCTCTGAAACGTTCACTTCGAGAGTGGTGACCATCGGTGCTGGCCTCCCACGGTTTCATCGCTCTGTCTAGGCCATTAATGTTGCCCTTCTTCACGACATGAATCCCAGACGTGTAGCATGGCTCAAGTCCTCAGGCTACATTATCATCAGAGTGGCCTTTGTTCTTTAAAAGTGTGTGGTTTCCAAGATCATTTTGAAGGGTTGTTGTTGGTTTTTTTTTCTGTTTATTTATTCAGAGAGAGATAGGAGGGGGTCAGAGAGGGAGGGAAAGAGAGAATCCCAAATAGGCTCTGTGACGTCAGCGCCAAAACCCAGTGCAGGGCTCGAACCCAGGAACCGTGAGATCACCACCTGAGCCAAAATCAAGAGTCAGACGCTGAAGTGACTGAGCGCCCCTTCCGAGATCATTTGGGAAAGGCACGAAAACAGCAGGAAGCACTGAACTACCCTTTGGACAGCTGCTCCTTTAGTTTTCTATTAGCTTTTGAAAAATGTCTCTCTCAGGCCACGTTCATTAAGATTTTAATTTTGCAGTTTGTTCCTTTTTAAGTGACGCGCAATTAATTAAGGCTTAGTGTGTCATCTATTTTTCGCGATGACGTTTTTACTGCCCCCTTTTCATTTTTGTCAGTTTATAAATTGTACTCTGGCTAATGAGTTCCATCCCGATTTCCAGTTCCAAATAATTATCACTCTCCGAGTACGTCTATTCTTTAACGAGCCACAGCATTAAGCACATTATGAGGCAAGCCCAGGTGAGCGGGCCTGCCTGTGCCAGGGGGCCGCTGGAGGGGCGCCAGGCCGGGGAGGCTGCTGAGCCCCTCCTCGCCTCCGTTCAGCACGTACTGAGCCGCCACCACATGTCAAACACCTGGGTCCGCGTGAGACATAAATGCAGAAGCCTCTGCCGGCCCCGGTCCCTGGAGAGCTCACAGACTAGATAATTGCCCTAGTTCTCCACACTGCTTTGCCAGTCAAAGTATGACTAATGGGACCTGAAATCCTGAATGATTTTTAACTGTGTATGGGGCTGAGATTGGACCAAGATTAATTGAACAGCAATTCCTTCTTAATTTCTCTTATACGACTGCGCTGAAATTTATGAACATCTCATCAAGTTGAGCTGAAGTTTAAATTTGCAATATTAGGAGGGGGCGGTGGGTGGGACGGGGGTGAGATTTATTAAGGAAGTGACTAGTCTAAGGGAGACTGAGGATATAGGAGTCAGGGTTCTCCAGGAACACGGAACCACTGGGAGATACATGTTAAGAGATTTATTTTAAAGAATTAGCTCATGACCTTGGGGGTTAGCAAGCCCCAGATCTGCCAGGTCATCAGGCTGGAAACTTCGGCAGATGTTAATGCTGCAGTCTTGAGGCTGAATTCCTTTTTCCCCAGAAGTCTTTAGCTTTTGTTCTTGAGGCCTTCAACCGATTGGATGATGCCCACCCACATTATTGAGGGTAATCTCCTTCACTCAGACAACTGATTGTGGATGCTAATGGCATCTACAAAACAGTTTCACAGGGCACCTAGATTAGTGTTTGTTTAAATCCCTGGGGTGCCATAGTCTGGCCACGTTGACACAGAGCACTAAGTGTCATAGAGGAAGTAACCCTCCCTGACGGGTGGGCAGGAAATACACACCGATGAGACCTTCTGTTGGCAACTTCGATGCCTCAGGTAGGTCCCTTGGCCGCTGTGACCTCCATCCATTTTGTAGCAAACCTTTATGAAATGCATGCCTCCCACCAGCCAGGATGATATGTGTCGAGGAAACCAACATGAGTAAGATGGGGGCTCTGTCCTGGAGAAGCCCACGGTCTGGTAAAGATGATAGACCCAGGACCGACCAACTCAGTACAAGAAGTGAAGGGCCACACGTTTCCTGCACAATGGGACTCTCACAAGTGATTATTCCTTTTAGCGTTCTAGAACATTCTGGTGACATCATTGAAGTGTTCACACGTCTGTCTAGTCATCTTTTCGTTGCTGGAAAGCCATGAAATCTTATTTCTTTAAAAATCCCATGATTTAGGGGCGCCTGTCGGTTAAGCGTCCGACTTCGGCTCAGGTCATGATCTCATGGTTCACAGGTTCAAGCCCCACGTTGGGCTCTGTGCTGACAGCTCAGAGCCTGGAGCCTGCTTCCGATTCTGTGTTTCCCTCTCTCTTTGCCCCTCCCCCACTTGCACTTTGTCCTTCTCTCTCAAAAATAAATAAACATTTTTAAAAAATTAAAAAATTCCATGACTTAGGTGCTGAGTTCAGGTGGTTTTATTTAGGAAAGGCAAGCGATTAAATTAGGAGCACTTAAAGCTGGGTTGTGTTACAGTCGTACACACAGTAAGTAGTTCATGGTCAGATGCAGGCTCATCCGGGTGGCAGAGTTCCAGGGAGTCTGTTAGTAGGTTGTGGAAATTTTGCCTTTGATCCATTTCACTGTCTTTCATTTTCTGCCATTGGACGGGAAAAGTTCTGGAGGCATTCTCCCATTACTGTTTGCGTTTGGTTTTTTTCAGGGGCGGATGTCCATGCCCGGGACCCCCGCCGTGGGATGTCCTCCCAGGAGTGGGCTGCTTACACGGGACGGTTGGAGGCCGTCCGCCTCATCCAGAGGCTGCTGGAGCGACCCAGCCCCGAGCAGTTTGGGGAAAAGTACAAGCCAGAGCTGCCGCTCCCCCCGGAGGCCGTTCTGAAGCCCACGGGCTCCAAAAACTGCTTGCAGAGGCTCGCCGAGTTTGTGCGGTCCGCGCTGACGCCCCGCTCACGCCAGGGCCTGGAGGATGGGGGCGTCCTGGATCACATGGTCAGGATGACCACGAGCCTCTACAGCCCTGCCGTGGCCATCGTCTGCCAGACTGTGTGCCCCGAGAACCCGCCCTGTGTGGGGAAGAGGCGGCTGGCGGTGCAGGAAATCCTGGAGGCCCGGGGGAACCCGGACACGCACGCCCCGGAGCGCGATCAGGTAGAGGGCGCCGAGCGGCAGTCCCGGACCCTCCAGGCCGCGGGGGTCTCCAGAGAGGGGGCCCCGAGAGCCAGCCTCCCGTCTCCGCAGCTGCCAGGCGCCCCGCGGAGGGCCAGCCTCCTGCCCCTGCAGCTGCTGAGGAGGACCAGCGTGCGGCCCGGCGTGGTCATCCCCAGGGTGCGCATCAGCAAGGCGCCCGCGCCCACCTTCCACCCGGAGCGGGCGGCCGCCAAGGGCAGCACCAAGGACAGCGCCCACCTGCAGCTCCCCAAGTGGAGGTACAAAGAGGCCAAGGAGGAAAAGAAGAAGGCGGAAGAGGCGGAGAAGCAGCGGGCGGCGGCCGCGCAGAAGGAAAGGCGGGCGCCGTCCTGGAGGAAAAGGACGTGAGGGGTCGGCTGCCTGGAAGCGTGTGCGGCGGGGGAGGAGGCGGCGGGGCTCGACGCCGGGAAGGATGCACCCCCCCCCCCGCCCCCCCGCCCTCGCCCCTTCCGCCGCGCTGCACAGCCCCGCACGTCGCCACCGCACATCCCCTGCAGACAGGCTCTCGGGAGGGGGGGGGGGGGGGGGGCCCAGAACGCGCTCCATATTTATTCAGGCAGCACCCTAGAGTGAGTTGGGCAGGGCACAAGAAGATTAGCCTAAAACCAGTTCCCTTAGCAGTCAGTACACCTAGCGGGCAATTTGCCAAAAAGCCTACCTTTAGAACCTCACTTGAGAAATTTTTAAGACCAATGTATCAAAGGGCCTTTTCGGAATAATTTTGTATTTTAATCATGATCAAATTTGCCTTTTACTGGTCTTTGTATTTAAGACGTCATGAATACATTTGCCCGAAGACCTTTTGTTTAAAATACTGTTTCTAGCAATAATTATTTGTGATATCTCTATGATTTCATACAGAATTTGCGGAAGCCTCCCCTTTCCTTGATGTTTGCTCTGGTCTTTGCCTTTCCTTCTCATCGTAGGTGTGCATGAGCTTCGTACGTTCTTATTGATTTGATTAAGCGATGCTGAATATTTGTTTCTATTTGATGGAGGCATTTACTTTTACAGCAAAATGATGAAGTGAGATGGGGATCAGAGTTCCTTGTATCTTATTTTTAAAGCTCTTATTTATACAGTAATAATAATGAAGAAAAACCTGTTGTCGAAGTACGAAACCGTGCATAGAGAAGCATGTATTTATTGCTAGAACTAAACATTTTAAGCAAGGGACTTCAGATAAACTGGATGCAAAGCCTTTAACATACTCAAAAATAGATAGGAGAAAAACCTATTGCTTAATAAAATGGGGGCGAATGTAATAAATTTTTAGTAGAAATACAAAGTTAAGTTCTATGTACTCTTACAGAAATTGAATTCAGATATCCTTAAAACGTAAAAAAGATGCAAAAGAGTAAGGCGCCAGAGTCATACAAACCACTGAAAAGGGGGAGAGGGGCTAGCGGAACAGGGATCAGGACTACACATTAAACAAACTCATCTTAGGCAAATTGTCCTGGCGTGGGCTGGGCCGCTCCCTCCTCCAGACTCCGTTCCAAAGACTCCCTGGTGTGGAATTACTTTTATTTTTCCTTTGATGACTCCCTGTGATGTTCAGTTCATTCTCATGCTGACTTTGTAGAATTTCCAAGATATGGGGACTTCGGCAGAGCATGTATGCGATTTGCCCTGGGCTCTGAGCTCTCACTGGGAGTTTCCGTCCATACTTTTTATCTCTGAAGCACTGAGAAATTCTAATGACTCTCTGGCCATCTGGGTTGCAGAGTATCTGTCATATATATGCACTAACGACGGCACTTTATTTAAAAATTACCCTACTTGGAAGCCATAGATTTAAAATAGTAGAGACCGACCCTGGATTCACATGTCAGATCGTGCTGCTCCCTGGCTGTGTCGTGATATGCACCTGTCTCATGATGTGGGCTGGGATGGCGCTGGCCTCTGCCTATCCTCCTGTGATGCTCGGCACCATCGGGCATTGAGCAATCTGGGGTCTCAGACTCACCTCTCCAAAAACCTCAACCAACAGTCTGTTGGGCAGCACCAGACTGATGGGAGAAGGTGCGATGCTAATGCTTTCTTTCAGCATCACTGATATTAGGGGGCTGCAGGCCACCCTCGTGTGTGAGTCGGGATTGGCCAAGTGCCCTCGGATGAGATGGGGACTGGTCCCCAAGGTGAAGAGAAACACACCTGAGCTCCCTGGCAGTCCAGTCCGGCATTCTTTGAGATAATTTTCACGTTCATGTATTCATTGCTTTGAATGGCTGGCTGCATTTTGTAGCTGAGGGTCACTCTTTGTCACCTGGCTTCCGCTGTAGGTCGGGGGCAGGGGCACTGATGGGCAGTGACCTCCTTCTGCTCTCCACATGTCCCCACATTTGTTCCCTGCCATCTCCTTTGCCTGTTTTCTTCTCCACTTTTGGCTAAATGCCCTGATCCTCCATGGCACCACCACTCTGAGGTCTAAAAGGGCAGAAAAGCAAGGCGATCGTGAGAGGCAGTGCGGTGTCCCTCTTGAATTATCATGTAGTGACCTCCACCTGCCCAGTGAATGAACTACAGATTTCCCCAGCTTCTTTGCAGTTGGTTTAGGATTTTGGCACGGCCCGCTATGCCCTTTTAAGGGCAAGAGACCTCGTGTGCTCTCCTGACAGATGATAACAGCACCACCCTGCTGTGCGGAGCAGGGAGGACCCCGTGTCTGCTTGCACCCCTGATGCTTATTAACTGTAAATAGTGAATTTCAAGTTGACAGGTACCTTCTCAGGGATTTATATATAAATATAGTTAGAGGAAAAGATGAAGTATATTTTAATACTTTTTAGCGTTTGAGTGAATTATGATCACACTAGACAGAAGAAATATTTCTAAGACGATATCAGTGCTGCTGTTTTCCAGGGAGCTGTCCAGAGGCTCCCTCTGTTGAGATTTTCTGGTTATTGGAGACCCAGGACTTTGGCAGCTGAAACGGCTTTGGGGGTAGATGTGAGGTCACCTCGGCACCTCTCAGTTACCTCTTGTGGATGTGAACCCTTGTATTTAAAACAGATTCAGCCTGTATGTAAGCAGCGGTGGCTGGGATAACAGAGACGGGCCATTCGTCACTTTTACCTCTAGAACTGGTTCCTCCGTGTCTGCTGTCGGGGTGCATGCCGTGGGAATGACAGTTTCTTGTCCTGGCTCATGTGGACCCATGTTCCACGGTCATCCCGGTGTGCCGCTCACCACTGGGAAGGCAGAGGGAAAATCTGGAAAGCCGAGGGAAGTCCATCTGGAATGGCCTCAGTGTTAAGAGGCATAAGCTGTCACGTCTTTGGCCACACTAGGGACACACGGCCCATAGCATCACGGACCTTCGTCACTGTCTCTGAAGCATCTCCCAGCAGGCTCCCGGCAGCACGTCAGGAACACGGAGGTGGGAAATCACAGATGGTTCCTTGTCTCAGCGTCAGTTCCTCCCGAGACACCAGGCTCATTCTGCAGGGGACAGAGATTCATGATGTCCGCTGGGACGTGGGGCCTGCATGCGTGGAGAGGCAGTTCCAGACGCCTCTGCCCACTTCCTTCCACGCTGTCAGTGGTGAGCGGGTCTCCGGGGGCCCGGCGTCTGCGTGGAGACCAGGAGTTGGTGTGCGAGATAGAATCCCACGAGGCGAGGCCGGACCCCGTCCTGACGGGGATGCCAAGCCCGTGTTCCACAGGGAAGAATCAGGGTACCACGTTAGGAAGAAAGGCCTCCCTGAGAGTTAACTTAATGAGCCAAGACTCAGAAGGGGGCACGATTCGTCCCTTGTAGCCTCTGGCAAGAGCACTGCCTTTCCCCCCTCGTCCACACTACAGTCAGAGAGGAGCCTGTCTCTCCCTAATTTACCTAAGTTTGCTCTAGGGAAGGCGCTCTGATGGAAGTCAGGGGTTCCTCCTCCCCCAGCCTCCCCTGGACGTTCCTGCTTGCTCCTTTCCTGTCTCCTACAACACCTGTCCGCCCCGCAGCGTGGAGGCTCATCATGACCTACTGTGAGCTCCAAGTCGCCGTCTTTCATGCGATCAAGTGCAAGCATTTGTTCTTCTTTACAGTATTTGGGGAAGTTCTGACACGCTGCCCGGGTATTTGCTCAGCGCCCTTTCCGGCCCACGTGGGTGACTGGGCTCTGCACTGTCTGTGGGTACTCCGCGTGCCGGGTCCTCGTTTCCCGCCACGGCAGCCTCGCACCAGCCCCCTTGAGCCAGGCCAACGGCCTAGAGGACCACTATCCTTCAGGGAAGGGAAGGCAGGAGGGCCGTGACAACCGGCCCATGCAGAACGATGAGGTCGCGTTCATGATGGCAACTGGAATCCGGCAGAGAATCCTCACCGTGGGGGTGCTGTTACCCACAGAGAACTTAGGACAAAACTGGTCTCCCTGAAGTGCTGATTGTCGTTTTCTCAGCTTGACACCTCGATGCATCTAGAACTTGTTTCTTTCGTCTGTGTAACTCTTGAGTCAGCTGCCCATTTCTGTGGCCTCGAATTCACCTGTTTCTTCATTAACGTTGAAAACAAGCGGCTAAAAAAATTCCTCTGGAGGCTGGTTTTGGGGGGAAAAAAACCCGAGACAAACAGAAAAACACGAAACACAAAACTTAACCACTACCCGAACTGATTTAACTGGTTTTCGAGCGACTCGGTTGAATGCCCGTGCCGTGCGCACAATTTCTGCATTGTGTCCCAGCCTGAAACAAGACTTCTGAGAGAGGCACGGTCCCTGCAGCACTCTGATGGCCCTCGGCTGCAGGCCAAGCCGGAGTGCGCGGTGTGTGATAAGGTGTGAGTGTGCCCACACGCACGTGCACGCGCAAATGAACAACTAAAGGAAGAGCAGGTCCTGTGTTCGCAAAGGTGACGGCTGCGGTGGCTCCCGGGGAGCGTCAGGCGTGACCTTCATTGATGTGTGTGTTCAGGAGGGTTGGACGGTCCAAAACCTACTGGAAACACTTCATCCCGTGGGGCGTGGAACACAGCTAGCATGTCGTAACCCGGATCTTCTCGAAGTGGAGTGTTGGGCCAGGCGCCTCATGTAGGACAAGGTCCAGTCGCCGAATCGGGGACATCTCTCTGCCTTTGACGCATGTCCTCTGCCTTGAGAAGCAAAAGCCGGAGAGGACTCTGCTTGGGGAGCTCCAGCAGACTTTCAGCTGTGGCCACAGGGTGGGGACTGAACTTCGAATTTGGTGCCAGGTTAGCCCATAGAATCAGCATCGTACCCCGAGGAAGCACTAGGATTTTCCCAAATCCCAAGTATGAAGTACTCTAATCAAAGCTAACACAACTTGGGTTTTGAGAGGCGTCGATTCTTCATAGTATTACGGCTTTATATTGTTTTTAGAGGAGATGTAGGTGAGAA